GCAGATGGCCGCTCACACTGAGCCTGGTTCTGCTGGAGGTTTCTTCCTGTTAAAAGGGAGTTTTTCCTCTCCACTGTCGCTACAAGCATGCTTAGTGTGGGGGATTGTATTTGAGTCAATGAGTCGATGCAATCAACTGGTTTTCCTTAGATAGAAAACTTTGTATCAATTTGACTGTATGATCTGGTTGAACTGTAAAGTGCCTTGAGATGACATGTGTTGTGAATTTGGCGCTATATAAATAAACTGAATTGAAATTGAATTGAATTGAAAACCCCTTCAACTTTTTATCCGTGCATTTTTTTGGGGGGTTTATTTGATAAGCAACAAATAGTAAAGCATGATTGGAAAAAATGGCAAGATGGCAGGAGGGCGAGGGCGACGTAAAAAACTTAAAAACCTGGATGACTCTTAACTTTCTGCTTCTGAATGCAGATAAAACAGAAGTTATAGTCTTTGGACCAGAGTCTCGGAAAAAGAAGCGGATTAGCCAGTCACTTCATTTGGATGGGATTAAACTGATTTCAGATAATAAAATTTAAAATCTTGGTGTCGTTTTCGATGCAATCAGCTGGTTTTCCTTAGATAGAAAACTTTGAATCAATCTGACTGGATGATCTGGTTGAACTGGAAAGTGACCTGAGATGACATGATGTGAATTGAAGCTATAGAAATAAACTGAATAGAATTGAATTGTTACTATATTTGGGCAAAAATGGCCGCTCCCAGACTCAGAGATCGCAATGAAAATTAATATTTTTATTTTTTACTGATTAAGACAAAATTTATGAAATCACAGCAATTGTATTAGGTATCGGCATAAATGATGATCCATTGGTTATTCCTTGCTGACTTTTCCTTAAAACTCACAAATCTTTGTGGTTATAAAAATCTGAGAAGGTATAAATATTCCTAAATCCTCAACATCTGAACAGGCTGGAAACGGCAAGCAGACCAAAACTCCTAAAAGTTAACAAAAACTGTGTTTTATATAATTGGATGAAAACATTAGTAGATACGACATGCAGGAATATATAGATGTATTCTAGCCTTCCTACCAGTGTCTAATAATGAAGTAAATGCTGTTCTGTTCCAGCGGCTGCAGGCAGACAGGCTGAATGTCATCAAAACAGATGTTTAGCAGAGCGTGCAGTGGAACCAGTTAACAATCCTCCAACAGAACCAGGGACCAGTCTGTCACAGCTTCCTGTCATTTTTCACACAAGATCTTCTAAAAATAAAACATTTTCATGCTTTTTCCATCAGGAGCGTTTTGTTTCATTTCATTAGAGGAGCGTATTCTACACATGTTGGAAACTTGCTTCCTTTATCAGATATTTAAATGATGTCCAACTTCTAAATTGAATGTTTAATAAAATAAATAAATAAATTGAATGTTTAATATATGTACATAATAAAGTTGTTTATTTCAATATCTGATTTGATGTTTAATAAAGACAATAATGCAAAGTGCAATCCTAAAGCACTGACACAACAGCTCATTTATATTTATTCCTCTATGCCGATTAACATTCCTAATTGCTATTTTATAGAAAGCCGTTTATTGACTCCTCATTTATTTTAAGCTTCATTATCCTACATTAACACGATCAGTTGCTGTAATGTAGACTCAGCTCTGTGCATCCAAATAATAACATGACATAATATTCAAATTTACAATCTGATGTTACTGTTGTTAAAATTCTTGATATTTAAGCATAGATTGATCTTTTTGGAGATTTTAAAACACCATAAGGCAAATGTTGAAATCTATTTCAGTAATGTTAAAAGGGATTATTTTAGTTAGATGTAAAATATGTTTTTTATGTTAGAAAAATGTTTGTCTTGCATGTTTGATCCAGTGAAGAGAGTCTAGTTCCTTTATACCAATAAATATTGAAAAAGAGCTGAATTATAATTATAATGATTCCCTTTCATTCCTAAATGACTCAGATCATTTTTAAAACATGTTTTAAAGATAAGCCCTGCTTTCTAATAAAGTTAAATCAAACATATATTATCTGGATGCACAGGGTCTGCTGGGTCTCCCGTTCTCTTGATTTTTTTAAGCAGTCGATCGTTTAGGAACATTATTTCCTTCTAAATTAATGAAATGCTTCTTTGGCTTCAAGCAGGTAAAAGGCTGCAGCTCATGATTGATGACATAAAAACTGTGATTACTACGACCAAAGTTATAGCAGTGAGCAATATAGTGAGAAGATGAAGCAGTCCCTATTCATACAGTTAATCAGATATAAAATGCATTATTTTGCAATTCGATCCTTTTTTTATAGTATTTCGGGAAAAGTGTCAAAACAAAACATTATTAAATCTATATAGGAGGATCTTTTATTTCAGGGTGGATCATCTCAATCAGTGGTCCTCCTACCTGTCAATCATTGTGATGATTTGTTTACGTCCCGTATATCTGTGTAGAGCTACGGTTTCAGACAGTCATTGAAGCTCACCGTTCTCAACGCCGTTCTTTGAAAATGGCCGAGGGCCAGAGGAGAAAAAGTGTCTACGAAGTGTGTGAGAAGAAAAGAAAGGCCTCAGAAGAGGCAGATATATCCCAGAATGCTTTGCATGGAGAGCTGTCCTCGCAAAGCATTATGGGATTTGCTGTCGCCATAGGCTGTCGCTAGCTGACAGCGGCGCCTAATAACAAAGATGGCGCAGGCACCGTGCGGTGGAGGAGGAGTTATGTGACCAACGGAGCAAAAAGCAGTGATCATCTGTCTGAACGGTCAGTGAACTGAGTTCACTATAAAGTTCACTATAGAGTCCCCGCTCTATAGTGATGGAGGGATTTAGGGGTTAAGGCGGACGGACACAGTGAGCTGCTATGAGAACAGCTACTTTTAAACAGAGCGTGCACGAGGAGGAATGGGCTTGTGCACGCTTTGCACGCGTTTCCTCTAGGAGCGGGTACAGGGTCGTGCATGTGCTTTTTTTTTTTTTAAGAATTCACCAAAATCCTCCACAATACCTTTAAAGAAATCAAACAATTTGTTAAGACGACCCTCCTGCTAGGTTACCCTCGATAACAAGCTTTAGTTTTAATTTCTCTGAGCAAAAATAAGTGCAGAAGGTTTGACCTTAGCGCCAATCCAAAAAAAATAGAAGAATATTACTGTTTGAATGTCATGATTGTTTCCTAGGCTGTTATAGGTTCATTATAGAAGTGCAGCTGAACGGTAAAACCTACACAGGTAAGAAACCTTTACAAGCACCGCAGGTCTGCCTGTGAGCATCCTGGTCACAGTGCTGCTCTGGAAACATATTAGAAAATCTGTCTGAACACTAAAATGATTAAAAGAAAAAATACTTTTGTGAGCAAAAGTATTATTATGAAAAGAATCTTGGAAAATAGCAGCTGTATAGCTCAACTGGTAAGTTACCAGAGTCACACAGGAGGCCTGGGTTTGAATCCCCGCTGGGGGGGAATGAGCTGCCAAGACTCTTCATGTTAATGTCTGCTTGGTAGTGGTCTGCTAAATGCATTAACATACATAGATAGATTCAACAAAAGGTGAATGGGAGAACTACTGCCTCTGTATCAATCATCAGTTTCTCAGTTTGTAAAGAAATGTGGGCATTGAGGGTTGGAGTCTATCCAACATGTAAAATACCTAATTTGCAGGCAGTGTGCTAATTTGACAGTTCAAATTTAGTATCCTATTAATATAATACATCCAGCCAGTCCCTAGTATATTGCACACAAAAATTCATATTTTTATCATAAACACTATAGTGGAGGATTTTTGTGAATTTTTGAAAAGACCCGCCCTCTCCACTTAAAAAAAAAAATGCACATATACAATCCTGTACCCGCTCCTGAGAGGGAACCCCTATGAGAGCGTGCACGAGTCCCTTTCTCCTCGTGCACGCTCTGTTGCTGTTTGCATCGCTCATAGAAGCTCATACAAGAGTCTCTCCTGACTCTTAATAGATGTTTACCAAACGCTACAAAAGGAGACCCTTTAAGACCCTGAAACAGAGACTAGTTCATCCTAAAGACCTAATCTGAGCAGAGTGTCTGCAGGTCAATGCAGTGAGAAAACCAAACAACCTCTCCACAGACGCATGGCCCAACACAGAAGAGCGCCCCCTCTGGACAAGACTTTGCGCTACATCTACACCTGATGGACAAAGGACATTCTTTGGAGGACCAGAATGTTCACGTTTTGGACAGAGAAGACAGGTGGTTTGAGAGAAAGGAAGCCATCTATGTAAGGAAAGAAACACCAACCTTAAACAGGGGGGGGGCTCAGATTTCCGCTTTCAAAAATCTACAATCCAGCGATAAAGTTGATTCCTTCCCGCTATCATCCCAACCCCTTTACAGGACAGAAGACCTCACCTGTTCAGCCAGGCCAACTATTCCCTCTAACGACCCCCCCTTTCAGAGACATAGACAGGTATGTGGCATTGCAGGCTAACAAAGAAGCCAAACGACCCCCATTCCAAAGGGGGGGACCCGTTCATCCGTTTCTATTTGCATGTTTTCTAAACTAAAACCAGGCTTTGTTGGGCTGCTGGATAAAACCTGGAACTAAACGCTATTTCTGACATTTGGAATTGAAAAATCTTCCTGGATGGAAGAGAAACGTCTTTAAACTTGGAAACAAAGTCCAGAGGATTGATTTTTTAACTTTTTTTTGGAAAGCTACAATAGGAGAAATGACTAAACTCAGCTCGCTTCCAATCAACACATAATTCTCATTTTGTATTTTGACAGAAACAATATCCTTCCCTGGATATCAGATGCAAACATACAGAAAACATCAGAAAGATGAGAATAATTGTTGCCTGTAAATTATGCACTGGTTAGATCTTAAACATATAGAACTACTATATCGAAAGCTTTAAGGTTGTTAAAAGTGTTATAGCTAGTAAAGACATAGTTTGCACAAACACATATCATGATAAACCCATACAGAGTATACAATTTGACAGAAAAAGGATTAATAGATAATAGAAAGCTTATGGAGACTTACAGGAAGGACTTGACATCCAGACCGCGGTTCTTCATCTGGTCCATGACGTAATCCCAGCTGCCAGGACTTCCTCTGGAGCGCCCTCCTGTTCCTCCTCCCCTGTAGCGTGAAGCGGCGGCGCCCGCTGAGCCGCCTCTTGAGCCCCTGCCTCGTGTACCTGCTCCCCCAACCTCACCACTGTTACTGCCTCTTTCTCCTCTCCCTGCCCCCCCAGGTGCAGTATGTAACTGTCCCAAGCTTTGAGACGTGGTAGGCGGGTGGCTGAGACCCGGCCCTGACGGCTGGATCAGCGGCTGCTGCAGACTCTGCTGCCTCAGCAGCGTCCGAGGCCGAGAGGGAATGTGCTCCAGAGTGGAGGCATAGGATAAAACTGGCTCGCCAAAGCTGGGGGGACAGAGGAGTAAGGAGGAAAGGGAGCGCGTCAAGGGCCAAGGCCGGCAGAGGAGTGGTTTTTGAGGACGCATGAAGGAGTCCGAAGTTGTAGAAGAAGAAGCGGAGCCATGACAGGTGGAGGGGGGTCGTTCAGTGCAGGAGGTGATTAGACAAAGAGATTGGGAGCATCGGGAAGATATTGGAGATGAAGTCAAGTTGACATCAGGACAGAAGCAGGACAGTTCATCCAAACAGGAAGTTGAAGATTGTGTGATGGAGGAGGAGGAGGAGGGAGGAGGTGTGGTTGCATTGGAGGTCAAAGTGGAGGAAGGATCAGAGAGAGGAGTGTTGTTAGGTGGAGAGAGAAGAAGGAGGAGAGAAAAAGAGAGCAACATGAGGCAGCAGCTGTAACAGCAGTAGCAAAAATAGCAGTAGAAGGTGCAGCCTGCATGATGATCGCCATGTGAAATGTGCTGCTCGAGATGCTGAGTCAGACAATGACTCTGCGCTGGACGCAAGTTCGCCCTGCGTGGCGGAACAGCTTGGGTGTGCTGTTTGCGTGCAGCCGTGTTTCTCTGCGGCAGCGGTCGGATGCTGACGGTCCGTACAGGCGTGGAGCGGCTCTGAACCGCACGGCCGTATCTAGGAGTCCGCGTCGCAGTTTTGCTGCTTCCAGGCCTCACCGATGAGGGCTTGGTGTTCTGACGAGAAATCCCCATTTCCTCTACTTGTTCATCAACATTTCCACCTCTGATAGCCTCTCCTCATCTCTCTCTAAGTATTTTGGTCTTTTAAACACATGCAGGACCTCCAGAGACATCCTGACAGCCAACCAACTTCTGCACCAGGACTCCCTCCCTCTGCCAGGCTCCTAATTTCCACTCCTCCCCTTCATAAACACTGATTAACTGCCTTTCCTGACATAAAGATGTTACCGACTCTTTGTTTGCGTACAAAGACATTCAGATTTAGTTTAGTCTACAGTACTTCTGATCCTGAATTTTTCTGTTTTCTTTTTCTTTTAACTAAATATAACTTCCTGCCTTGTAACCCAGACTACGGGATCTAGGTCATAAGAGAGATACGGTTGGTGCATTACCTCATCCAACACATTTTACACACAGCTTTTCTTGTGATATTTCCTGAACCAAACTCTCCCAAAGAAAAGGATGAAAAAAGGGTCAATGTAAAGTAAACCTGTTAGTAGCAGACAGGTGGAGAATAGTTGGGGCAAAGTACATGATGACAGCGCGATGGAGAGCGATAGGAGCACAGGGTGACGATGGAGAAGAGACACAAACACTGGAGACACACAGACACTCATGGCGACCTGAAAATAGAATCCAATTACAGACAGGGGCAAAAAGAAAGATGAGAGGAGGAGAAAAGTAGGGAGCGAGGCAGTGATGAGCGTAAATGTGTTGTGGAGGAAGAAATCGCAGGAATGAAGTGTAAAAGGAATGTGAAGAAAATCACAGCAGCCGCGTTTAACTGCCTCATTTACACAAGACTGAATATAGACCTGAGATCATGTCAGACGTCATGGATGAGATATTTTTACAGCCAACACACAGTTTACATTGCAAGTTCATTTATTTCCTTAAAAAGCAACGATTTAGACTATTGTTATACATGCTGGTGTCATCCAGGTCAGTCATTCCAAAAAAGTTTAAAAAAGAAACTTTAAACTTGGAAACTTTGTTGTTTCTCTTCAGGAGGATTTTTCAATCCAAAATGTCAGAAATAGCGTTTAGTTCCAGGTTTTATCCAGCAGCCCAACAAAGCCTGGTTTTAGTTTAGAAAACATGCAAATAGAAACGGATGAACGGGTCCCCCCCTTTGGAATGGGGGTCGTTTGGCTTCTTTGTTAGCCTGCAATGCCCCATACCTGTCTATGTCTCTGAAATGCATTGCAGGTTTAATTTGCATGTTTTCTAAAGGCTTTGTTGGGCTGCTGGATAAAACCTGGAACTAAACGCTATTTCTGACATTCTGAATTGAAAAATCTTCCTGGATGGAAGAGAAACGTCTTCAATCTTGGAAGCACAGTCCAGAGGATTGTTTTTTTTAAACATTTTTATAATGAGGATTGTTACAGTTAGAGAGAAGGAGAGGATTTCTGTGTTTCTGCTTTTCTGCGGCCTTGCAGGCGGTGCGTAAATCCAACAGAAACCAGAGTGACCTCTTCAACCAGAGGACATCCTGATCTAATCCCAGTATCACCTCAGGATCCTGGTCAATGTTTTTCTAATGACTTGTATGCAATTCCTGACCTAATCTCAGCTGATCAGCATGACTTATTAGATCCTATCATTGATGATTTTAGTTCTAACCCTTGAAAGCCAGATTAACGTTTAAACTTGGGCTTTATATTACCCATCAGTGCATCTTTTATCAGACAGGAGCACAAATTATTCACATTCAGGTGTTTGTGAATTGATCACAACATTTCTGGAATACCGGTTTCTTATTGCTTATTAGTAAGTAAGCCGTTTTTTTTAGATTAACATCATTATCATTTAATAAATCTTTGCCTTTATTTAGTATATAACTATACGCTAACCTCAAACTGCAGAATGGAGAAAAACACCACCCTAGTTATCAGCATTGATGAGCCTAGTTGTACTTCTTGGGTTTATTTTAGCCCCATATTCCTCTGAGGTCCACTTAGAAAATAAAAACAGAAAAAAACAGGATCAGGAAGTACATGTTTTTCATTAAACTAGAATAATGGCGGGGCTGCAGGGTAGCGCAGACACCTTGCATGAAGAAGGTTCCCAGCCCGGAGTCTGCATGTTCTCCCTGAGCATGCATGGGTTCTCTCTGGGTACTCCAGCTTCCTCCCACAGACCAAAAACATGACTGTTAGGTTAACTGGCTTCTCTAAATCCTCTTTAGGTGTGAGTGAACGGTTGTCAGTGTGTTGCACTGCGAGGGACTGCAGACCTGTTCAGGGCGGACCCAGCCTCTCGCCCAGATAGGCCCCGCCCCCACCGCGACCCTGACGGGACTAAGCAGGACAGGATGGATAGAATAATGCACTCAATAGCAATGATCTGTGTGACCGACGGACTCCACTGCGGAGAAAAGCATCAATTGGAGCAGTTCTGTCATGTGGCAAAGAAAGACCATCTCTGCTGTAACTAATGTATAGTCCAATTTTATCACACATTGGCTAAAGTAATTCAATTTATGTGAGCAAATTAATCGGGTTGTTTAAATTCTATGTCAATAGGCCCGTTAAAAATATGCATATTTAATGAGCAATGCATTAATGTGCACAGAAATATGATTGGGTGAGTTTTTAAAGGTTATTTATGAGTCAATGAGCAGTCGAGCACCAAAAGAAAACTTTTCACAGCAAGCAGGGGAAATATGATGCATGATAGAGACGGAGCTTTGGTCAGAGGTGGAGATATTATTTCCTTCACCCATTTTCTGTCATTACTGGGAGCTCTACAGGGATGAGCTCCCTGGAAATGCATCTGCATGTAGCTGAAGGATAAGCTAAGCTTTGGTTCTGAACTCACTTGGTAGGTCTTAATCCTCCGGCCTGCATGTGGCTCTGGACAGTCTGCCACTTCCCAGCCTTCACTTCTTCCGTCACCATGCTCTTCACGCTGTCACTGCGATAAGGACCCCCCCCAGCATCCCCACACCCAGCAGCGGCAGCCCCCTTCTGGCCGCCTGACACCGCCCCACTAAGGGGGAAGAGATGATGCAGAGATCCCAAAGTAGACAATGGAAGGGAATAATGACAGGCAGAGGAGAAAAAAAACACCAGAGAGCGTGAGAAAGACACAGAAACAGAGACAGGCAGGAAAACAGATTAAGAAAGCACATGGCTAAGGAGGTGAGAGCGATCGGGGGACTGTGTGAAGGGGCGGGCCCGGGGACTGTGTGAAGGGGCGGGCCCGGGTTTGGAGGTCAAATAGAAAGCAGGTGGGTGAAGTGGTCTGGAGTCCAGCGTGGAAAAGGACAGGGATGGGGAGAGGACGGCTAGGTGAAGCAAGGAAAGGAGGAGACGCATTTCAGGGTAGCCTGTGAAGGATGAAAAACCAGCATCAAGCTCCTCCTTTGGGCTTAGAGGACTTAAAGAAAGTTTACTTATTAGGCTTAGGCTTGATGTGCTTCTTTAAGGTAGGATTTTATAAGACATATCTGGGGCTCATAGACCAAGGAATCCTTTTTGTTTTTTGCACACTGATGTAAAAAAAAACCTTTTGAGGTTTCTGCTTCTTATTTAGAAAGCACTTCAGACTCAGACAGCATTCAGGAAGAAAAATTAGCCAGACTGCAAAGCAGAAAGTACCGTGCTAATCACACCAGCCTTCAGAACCGGCAGAAGGTACCGGAATTAATCATCATCCCCTTTAAATGCAGTTTTAACTCAAATTTAATCTCAAAACGGGTGCAGCGATGATGAGAATGAAAAGAACATTAGTGCCCTCTGGTGACATGACTACATTTCATTAATATGCAAGGCTCTGCTTCTCCTTGAAACACGAGGATCTAAGACTTTGCGTCGCAGTGTGCATGTTTGTTAGCTATAGAGGCGTTAACGGGCATGAGTGTCGTTCTGCTTTAACTTTGACCAGCTGCCATAACGCTGCATGCTTATATATAAGTAATAACAGCTTTGATCATGGCTGATGATCAGGACAAGAACGCTTCCTCTCAGTTGAGCCCAAATAAATTATTATTTTTTTATTTATAAGGTAAGAATAAGATAATTTTAGAGGGCTACTAGGAAGTTCAGATGTCTGATGTTTCCCTCTGAGCTTCAGTCAGGATTTTTTAGTCATTCCCTGATGATGCATGTTAGATGGAAAACTGTTAAACCACCTTACTCTGGGAAAGTGATGTTAAAAACAACAATAACACTTTTTTGCTTCCTGCTGAACTAGAAATAGCGCCACCTGGGGGTTACTAAGTCTGCATAGAGCCTTAAAAATGATCCATGTTTAGATCTTAAATTAGTTTTAAATTTACCAGGATGTTTTAAATGTTTAAAAATATAAAATCTGAGTTTTTTTTCTAGAGAACTTAAACGGAGCTAAAAGTTCATATGTGGAGCCGAACAACAAAGATCTTTTCAAATCATCAGTGAAACATGATAATACTGTTTAGCAATCGTTGGGACAGTTTGATGGCTGTAAAGCCAATAAATGACCCTTCACTATTTTTAGATAAATTATTTTGATCAGAATAATGATTCTTATAATGTTCAAGTGTCTCAAATAAGGATCAGAAATACAATAAATATGAATGGAATGTATTTCCAGGACTCCACATAATATTATATGATAAAATTAAATGATAAGTTTGACATTTTGTTGTTTGATTCATTTAAATTGTACAATTGAGACAAAAAAACGACCTGCAACATGGAATAAATGTGAAACGGCGCCTCTATAGGTCCAACGTAAACGTAGGAGGGATTAGATGGGATTAGATTGTCAGGAGAATAAAACACATGGCTGCTTCAGCACAGGAAGATGGCTGCAGTTAGAACCATGTTAAAGTCGTAGGGAAGCAGCCGTTCCCCCCTTTCTGAATTCTCCCAGTGGTGCCCGACTTTACACCAGTGAATAAAGTGAATGTGATTGGTCGATTATCAAGGGGACGGGATTGTTGTGGCGGAAGGTTAGCGAGCAAGTTCGGTTGTGTCCGGTTTGTGGGAAGCATCTTGCTAACCAGTTAGCAACTTAGTGCTAGCAGGTTCCCAATGGGAAATTCCATTGGGACCAAGTAGCACTAAATTGGTGCCTTAGAAACGACGCTGTCAAGGAACGCTATGGACAGCGGAAACATGCAAGAGGAGGAGAGTTTAGTGTCGGAGGTCGTGGATGAGTCTCCTCCGTCATCCATTTTTTATTTAGAGGAGGAAAGCGGGGACGAAGATGTTGTGGAAGAGGACGCCAGGGCGGCAGAAGCTTGGTTTGGTGTAGAAGGCTTCCAGCCGTCCATGTTTGAGCCCTTGCCTCGCAACGCTGCCAGTTCTGTTAGCTCTACGCCTGCTGAAGACACAGACGTCCATCCCCGTGAACACTGGGACGCAACTCAATGGGAAAGGAAAGGATTCTGATTTCAACCGCTGCGTATATTAGCTGCGACACATGAATCAAGATGCTATGACCGAAAACATTTGATTGACAGACGACCGTTGAAATATGATTGGCCGAATTTAGGTGTTCAGGCTGACGTAGAACTACCTGGCCTGCAGAAGATAATGAAAAAAACAGATTTTAAGACAGCATTTATTTAAAATTTTTAATTTTCTAACGTTTGGGACAATATGGTCTGATAAAGAGAACATTTATATACATGTTTAAGGCAGAATGATTTGACATTTAAATATGATTTCCTTACGACTTTAAGTGATTTTTTTTCTTTCTTTCTCTCACATGTCAGGGTTTCTAATGAAAGTGGAAACCTGTATAAATAGTATTTGATTGCCTGAATTTAAATCTTTAAAAAATGTGACTTTAGCACTTCAATAGTCAGAAATGAACATGAAGTCCACAAACTCCTTTCTACTTGGAGACTGACTAATTAAGGCCCAGT